GAGGTTTAGGTATTGGCTAATAGGGTAGGTACTTATCCGTTGATCTAGAATTATGAGATTGATTGAAATTCGCATTATGAATCAATAGAAATCAGAAAATCATTAGTTATTTATTCTATGACACTGTACATTACTGTAAACACATAATATGTACTTGTCAATAAAAAGACCAGGTTTGACTAGAACCCGTAACTTTATTACGCTAATTAAACCTAATAGAAATTACAAAACTACAGCTATGTCTCAAATAATCTTTTATGTAAATGTAGGTATTATTACTGTTAATACATGCGATTCCGAATATAAAACTTAAAATAAATCGTAAAAAAAAAGTTATGCAAATCTTATAAATTGATTTACAAAATAATACTGAGTTTACAATTTGTATTAATATCGTAATCAATTACTTGTACTTATAAATGTAGGAGCGATGCGCACGCAGTGAGATCCCAAGCGAGTCTCGTCCGTGCGCCCGCGCATTAACTTAACCAACCAATTATCCGCTATGTTCTTGGTGCACTCGAACTCGGTTCATTCCTCCACCATTGCAATATGTTAACATATTTTTTAATTTCTCCATCGGACAGCTAAAGAGGCAATCGCGAGCTCATGCGCAGGAGTGAGATTTATAATAAGAAAACGCTCCTACCGCGCATGCACCATAAAGATCTATAAATCTTTTAAGTACTGGATCGGCCAATCCCTGTTGAGAAACGATAAATCATCCCCTCGGACAGTAAAGTCGAATCGAATTGTATTGCGCTCTCGCTCGCACTTAATAGCTCTTATGCCCTTTCTGATCATTTATCATTTCTTTCTCTCGTTTCTTCTCAATGATAAATTCAATTCTCTTTTGGAATATGATTGTTCCTCGTTTTGTTATTGTGTAGTGTTTTATTATGGGTATCGTCACGGACTTAGGTTTTTGATCGGAATCCGATCGAAATGATCGCGAGAATCGCATTTCCATTGTAGATTTCGTGACTCGAGTGATCAATCTTTCATTTTGTTTTGGAATTCTGATTAGCTTAGTCAATTAATTACCAAATAATTTACATTGTCAAATTCTGCTTTCAAATTTATTTTACGGTTAGTAACTTAATATAATGGTATACCTAGTTGTAGGTATATAATATATACCTACAACTTTGGCGAATAGTCATATGGCCCATGGCCTCAGTAACGTATCTTTAAACATTCACTACACTAATGTTAGGTACATATGTATGTCATAACATCTAACTATTTGTCAAATTCTCAGTCACAATTGAAATGGTATCTCTTGGTTATCGTTTTTTTTTTTTTGGTTAATGTATCCCGTTGGTAAAAGTCACACAATTGAATTTGTCAACCCTCGTGGTACCATCTTCTCTCTCTTGACACTTTAAGTCTCCGTTTTTACGTATATAACACATAAAATATGTTATAAACAAAAACGTCTTATGTAGTAGGTAACTGTAAATTATTAAGATAGATTTTTAGTTCTTAGTTTTATATGAAGTGAATTGATCAAAGGCAAGTCGCGTAGGATATGTTACATCTGTAGGCATAGTAACCTCTAGACAGGCTTTTAACCTCTGAATACTTACCGGAAACTTTCTTTATCTAACAAGCACATTGTCCAAAAATATGTCCACATGGTCGATAGAGTGCTGGTGATTGTTTACTTTCTTTTATAAAAAAAAACAAAGAATTATTTCTGCGTCTATGGGTCTTTAAACAACGAACATTAGGAACACCCAGACACAGGACAATTATTGATCGATGACATTTAGTACTGTCCCGGGTGAGTGAAATACTCAAAACGAGTAGCGAGGCAAAGATTCATCAGTGCGCCATTTGTGTAGTCAAATTGTTGGTAAAGGTTCCTCTTTCATGTGAGTGGTGTTATTATTTATTTATAATAACCACTACTAACTTATTTATAATAACATTCGTCCGCGTTGGTCTTACCTCCCATGTGCTAATCTAGGATGGATCCATTACACTCGTATATATGACACAGGTTTATAACAAATCCGTTTACCAGTAAATGGTTCTTAGATGATAAAGTTAATAACAGGATTTATTTTTACATGAATATTTCCAAATGGATTTTTACGAATATGGATAGGTACAGAGTTTTGTACCTATATTATTGTTATACCTATATTATTTTCTTCAGTGCAGCGAATTAAAGACCCGACATTACGTGGGATCAACAATTTATAGCCTGTAAAAGGTCAATACTTACTTAAGGAGATAGGAATCCCTCGAAATATATAATATAGTGTAATTGACAATGTAGTTGTATTACCGATGGATTCACAAAAAGTAAATAGTTCAAGTAATCAAGCTAGATCCAAATATTCGTTTATTTTATTTTTTGCTATTTACACGGCTGTAGAAAAGACAACAATTTCATCTTAAAATAACTTAAAATACATAATGTTTTCTCAGTCAAATAGATAGCTAATAATAATAGGTACGCTTTTAACCCCTTTAATTATCCAAAGGTCGGTTCGTGAAAAAATAGCTCTATGTTCAATATAAATATACATATATAGTTCAAGAGTCCATAGCACAATGAAGTACCAACCGCATCTGGCTGAATTACATTTACAAAGAAATCAAACCCTTATGTCTACTATCACTGGGCATTTTCTTAAAATATTTTATACATCATTATAACTAACCTAATATATACGTATAAACAATTTACAGAAATTTTACAACCTATAAAATCGTATTTTTATTAGACTTCGGAGCTTTGGCCATGCTGATCGTTATAAACTTTTATGTTTCAAGTCTCGTTAATATTCGCGATAGACGTGTTAATTTTCTCGATGACAATGTTGTGCCGCATTTAAATTAATTTAGTCCCACTGCATCTCACTTTTGAAATTGGTAATTTCATTTCAAATTTTAAACCTATTCCTAAAGTGAAAAAAATTAAATCACATGTCACATGGACGCACTTAAAAAAAAATGTTTTATAATTATTTCAATCTTCATAAAAAGTCATAAAAACAATACACAGTTTATTATAAATCCACAAAATGAAGTCATATTATATATATAATAGTTTGAACGATTAAAGAAATACAAAACAAATCTAAAAATGTGCCGTGTTTCAGAAACTTTACATACCCATAGACACTTTTTGTTACTTATCTAAAGGAAATTGTTCTACCGAGGTAATCAATTCTTAAAGTTTCAAGAATCTACAAAAACTCATTACTTTTTTACAGTATTCTACCCATTTTTTTAAATAAAGTATTTACATTTAGAAAAGTTTACATTTTAAAAACATAATAATAATAATATATTTCACACATCTTAAATGTATGCCCGGAGTGCCTAATTTTAAGCCCGTGTCTGCTTTACATTTAGGACCATTTTTTTATCGTGTCTAAACGGTTCACCTCATCACCTCACCGCAGCTTACGGTGACGAGCTCAATTGGTCCATTTCGACAAACCATGGTTTCCAAGGAGAGGTTTTCTACGTCTATACCTATCGCGAGGTCACAGTGTTGTTGTGTTCACGCTGAGCACTAAAGTATAGAGTGTAGTACGAGTATCCTGTGATGGCACGCAGACCTTGGCTCCTGGTTTGTGACACAGGTACTTTCCTATACAACCGTGGTATAAAAACCATTTTTATTTTTAATACAAATTTAGGGTGTTAATCCAACATTTTTCTTCCAAATATCTCAATTAAAAACTGATAAAATATTTCACTGTAAATATGTACTAATTTGGTTGGTGAAAATGGTAAAATAAAATTATATTCATGAGAGGTTCAGGGTCTATTAGCTATAGGCCATGAACCTCTCATGGCCTCAATGGTCTTTAATTTCCATATGTGCAAAATTTTATGACAAATGTATGATAAATCACGCAGATTTTTATTGCCAGAATATATATTCTTATAGTCTTTGAGCCTAATTTATGTTTTGTACAAAGTGCAGTGAGACTAAATCTTTTTTAACCACCACTTATCAATTACATGGTATCCATGTAATTGATAAGTGTTCATCCTAATTTGAGTCTTATTTTGTGATTTATGTGATTTTTAGAGAAAAGATTAGACGTTCTTTTAAATATTTTGTAACGTTTTGAAATCTTTTACATTTATTTGGATTTGTAAAGTTCGTGTAAACATTTATCTAGTTTATCTAAGTCAATCCAACCAAGCAATATAAAACACAAAACAATTCTCAATTTGACATAAAGACACTAAATTACAAAATATAAGGACTCTTTCTTTTTTCAATTTCACAGTTAATGTATATAGTTGAATAATGTATGAAAATTTAATTGTTTTCGTTTCGTAAAACTAATATATTTAACAATGCATTTGTTTGTATATTTTTTTTATGTTATACAAAGGTTTGTAATAAATCACTGTCAACAATTGTAGTAGGTTGACAATTTTTTTGTTAAACAGTGTAAGATATACGACACAAATGCTTCTAGCTTACAATACTTATCAAAAAAGGAATTGTGTTCCGGAAATTATAAGAATAAGACACTTCATTGCAGCAGAATGTTTACAGGAAATGTACAACACGTTGTAAAGCGTTCTACCAGCGGTTATTGTTTACAACTGACTTGTTTAATTTTACCATATTGAACAATAGATTCTTGTGACGTTAAATTCTATAGTGAACATTCATTGTCACCTTTTTACATTAATTAACTCTGCTTAACAATAAGACCCAATATTATATATTTGTCGGACGGCTGACATTTGGCGATGAATTTTCAGAAATGGTCGGATTGACTATGGACTAATTAGATTTATAATAAGCGTAACTTTGAATGCAATACTGTTCCTGAGCGCATTAGTTAACTTTTCATTCCACGTTCATTTCAATGCTTTAAGAGTACCAAGGCGATTGAAAGAAAATTGTATATTAAGTTATCCTACACAAGCAAGTGTCGTGTTTCATATAAACTATCGTTGGACTCGTATCAGCTAAGCGTCGAATGAAGAGTTCGCTAAGCGCGGTGCGGTCAGTATGCCGCGGCGGCTCCAGAATGATGCATCAGGTGATGATGGTGGTACGTCTCTTGGGTTGGACACCACCAATCGGGGACACCGTGAGGCATTGTCGGTGCAGGCTGCTGGAATTGCGTCCAGTGCCCACCAAAGCCTAGTTTATTATCCATCACACCGTTTCCGCCTAAGTTAGTGAGATGCGGAGGTTGGTTGTGATGGGGCGGTGCGGGCGGTCTTTCGTACGGTTTTTGATCGTGAGGGTTGAGATATTTTTCATTGAGACTTTCGAGTTTATCTGTGATTGAGGGGTGATGATGTGGGTGGTGCTGAGGTGCGGGGCCGGGAGGCGGAGGAAGCGGTGCGGCAGGACTGGCTGCACCTGCTGTCACGCTCACGCTACCGGCTGAGGACGAGTCGTCGCCGTCGCTGTCATACCTCGGCGACTGGTCGCCAGCCGCACCGTGCACTTTCATGTGTTTGCGGAGCGACGATGGATGCGTATATGACTTGTCGCAGCCATGCACGCGGCAGTTGTAGGGTTTGTCTGATGTGTGTACATGTGAATGTTTCTTTCTATCCGAGGAGTTAGCAAATCGACGGTCGCAACCGGCGTACTCGCATTTGAACGGCTTTTCTCCTATGAAAAAATAATTTACTTTAGTTACTCTAGAACCAGTTTTAAAATATAAATTGAATAGACAATATTTTGACGGTTAACATATTTTTGATACAAATACGAATGTTGCATTAAGAAATTTATATTGCTACTGTTAGGATTTAGCACATAACTTACAACCTGAGCGTATCCTAAGAGTGAATAATAATTTAAATTTTGATACTAATATGTACAATTTGACAAAGGTGGTGGATTATTCCGTCAATGCAAAATAGCAATGAGTAACATATCACGACTTTAAAGTCACTACTGAAAGAAATCATAAGTCATACGTATCGAAACCGAATATAGAATCACATAATAAATAACCAGATTTGCTCGTTGTTTATAGTTACGAGCGTAAATAAATATTCACAACAATTGCACGGGATACTTAACACGGCCATAAATCATATTTATAAGACGACTTTGTCACATTCACGTGACAAAAGCCTCAACTGAAAACAACCCAAACAAAATTAAACCTTATTGTGATGTCAAATGATATGTTTTTAACTACACGCTTTTGTTAAACGAATTTGAAAGTCCGTTTTAGTCTTGATAACTTGATGATTAAAGCGAACAAAGTAGATAATCTTCTTGAATGGTGTTATCACCTCGATGTCATCTTGTTTATTGGATTTTGTTTATAAAGATGTTTTTCTATCAAGAACAGTACTTTCATCTGAATGAAGGTATCCTTTCCTGTACCGTTAACAATATGCACACAAAATTCACGATGATCGGTTAAATTGTTAAGGCGTGAAACCAACAAGCAAGCTCACATTTGGACTTAAAATATTAAGTTGGGACTAGTTAGGATTTAGAATTTACATAGGGATTACCAGTAAATACAATTAAGTAATATACATACAATTCATGGATATGGAAAACGAATAGGTACAAATAACTTCTAAAAACTTTCTTAGGTTCATGAGTCATCGAGAAACCGTAGGTCAATCATTTTGTGTAGACTCGAGATCCATTTAAATACGCATTATTGTCTAATGATTGATTAAATCCTTTAAATTGTCTTTTTTCTGATGCACAACTTCATTTAGACCCCTATTAGATACGTATTATGAAAAAACAACTCCTATTACTCATTCAAAGGTTTTCCAAAAGTTAATTCACATTTACGCGAGGACCCATACCGGCCCATAGCAAAAAGTAGGTACATATTTAATATTTATCAGAGGGTTGAGGGGTTCCAATATTAAATGTACCTTAAAAGTTAAGTTGAATTTGCACACCTTCAATTACCTCAACTCAACTAGTTTAGGTAGACAATTTTATTCTAGCAAGTGTTCTTAGACCAAAACGAACCAAATCAATTAGAATCAGAGAAGTAGAGACGTTTACGCTCTGCGTTTATAAATTGAAAAGAGTGAAAGTTGAGTTGTTTGATGCAATAGTTAGTGATAAATCTGCGTATCGATAATTTTATTGAAGAGGTAAACGTTCATATAGAACGGCCGGAAAAGCTCATAACATATTTTTAATGTACCTAAAGATTTTAAAAACATCCTAATAATATGTTGAAGAATTTACTGAATTCATTCACCTATTTTGTATTGTTAATTATTGGACTGGATTTTAACTAGCAGAACTAACAACCATTCACCACAATGCTCATGAGCTTCATTTTTGTATACAGAAGGTGTAATAGCGAGGATATACTGCAACCAACACAAATTCCACGTGTGACCCTATTTTTTGCTACACTTTTTTTTGTCTCCATCGGCAACGAAGTATTGATTCCTCACAAGTTCACCGAATCGTGTGAGATGATATTCAATAAAATACATTTATAAGTAGGCAGACGGTTCGGCAGTCGGCTAGTGTGACCGCACATACAATGTAGCATTATTGTCGTGTTTACAAATAAAACTCTTCGGTTCTAATCCCTTGTATTGTACTACAAAGCTTGAAACATGAAGATCGCGTTGAGAAGGCACAGATGCTAATCTCAAGTGTCTGTTAACGCTAGTATAATAGAGCTTCATAGGCGTTTCCTTACCACAATTTTTGTGAGAACTCAATAGAAGGATCAAATCATACTTCCTTTCACTATAAAATATTCTTGACTTTCACAATATATTCATAGATTCGTTTAGTATCTATCTTTTGCATTTCTTTTAATAATGTATAAAATTATCTCTTAGTTTAAAGAAACCCTTGGTTTCGTCAAGTCAGATAACGTTCATCATCATCATCATCTCAGCCGAAAGACGTTCACTGCTGGACATAGGCCTCCCCCGAGGTTCGCCACAACAATCGGATAAGGTTAATTTCATCAAAACATTTTTTCCTTTTATTAAAATACGATGAAATAGATATTTCTGAGAATAAAAGTCCCCATAAAATGTTCAGACCATTAAAAAAGTATAGGCCCGAGGATCGAACACTAATGAGACTAATACAAGAAAAGATAAAAGAGTCCAAAACATGTGTCGTCTCATCTAATTACTTATCTTGCGTCGTATCTCTGATGTTGACGATATAAAAAAGGATCAAAGACAAATTCTATCACAATTTGATGGGACGCCTCAGCACGCGCCGTTTTCATTGTTTAGGAAAGAAATATAAAATAGTTTAGAATGTTATTTATTTTGGTTGTAAATTTTATAATTTGACCGTTTCTTAGCGTTGCCAAATCTTGACTATACTTACAATTAATTGTTGTAAAACAAATAAAGGATCGAAGTGCAAGTGAATTAAATATATATCCCACACTTGATAAGGTATAATATAATTCGTGTAAAGTTTATACGGTCCGACCATTACCATGAAAAACTTAATTAGATAAAGATTTAGATCACTATTCAAATCGTTTAAAGATGTCCCAATAAACTAACGTTTATTAATAGCTACGTAAACAAAAATTCTGTTTAAATTATTTCTTTAAACATTTAGTGTCAAAACAAAACCAAAGCGAACACTACTTGGGAATGCACTTCGTGAATTCGTTGCGTGCCAAGCCGAGACACCGGCTAGGGTCAGATGTTTATCTTAAACGGCTGTATCACCCACGGGAGACACTTTTTTGTAACATTATTATCGATGTGAAACTTTTACATCTTCTTTTTTTAAGCGAAAAGGGGTATTAGAGGTTACTCAAACTATTTTAGCACTTTTGAAATTGAATTTGTTCATACCCAAAACTTTTCTTTTAAGTTATAAAGTTACGTACAAGACCAACAGCACTAAGCGGTGCGTTAGTAAAACATGAATAAATTAACAGTTGGCACATCGCCTAGCCCGATTTACTCAGTGGTATTGAGTTACAAATCGCTACTTAAGTGCGCTCTGCTGAGAAAACAAGCTTTTTAGAAATAGCACGAGTGATGTGAAACCCGACACATTCAGCCTTTGCACCAAATTTGTGTTAAATGGCATTAGGTGAGTTTGGAATAAAAACAATCGCGAACACTGAGTATCATGTTTCGGTCCGAGAATTCTCCCGCAAAATGCTATTTGTTCGGATTAAGTACGAAGTGATCAAATGAATCTTTATAATATGAATGGCTGGGTGACTTCTGGCTGCGGACCTGTCATCACCTTGAATAATAATTGGACACATGATATCCGTGCACCTGTTGCTCTCAGAACATTTTCATTAGATGTTAATACGGAATTATCTTAAATCACAGTGACATTAATAATTAAGATAAAACAGTGGCTGATGCTAACCGTGTCAAATACCGTAAGGATAGCTCTGACTATTATATAATGTGTATTTCATATTTATTTCATATGTTTTTAGTTTATGTTAAATTTAATCTTATAAACATAAACACACTTTCTATAAACATCTTGTTTATTGCAAGTCTCTGGAACATTGGAAGTTAACGCAAAGTTAAGTTGTATTATTATTTCGGAATGCTAATACCTAATATCTTTAGTTATTTGTTTTATTATTATTTGTTTTACATATGCTGGTTTATATACCTACTCTTATAAAAAATGCAATTTCGTAAAACCATAGAACTAAATCAATATTAATACCAACATGATTTAGAAGCGCATTTTTCTTTTTGTGATGTTATACCGTCTGTTAATGAGATTAATTTTGAGTAGACAATAATTAAAATAATACTAATGATAAATTTGAAGGCACGTATACGAAACATTGTTTTAATCTTTATTAAACGTTACATTTCGAAGCTAATTCAATCTCAGATAGAGAGAGCTAATAAGCGGCGGATGACTGGTCGTTTGCTGGCACAGCCGAGCCGACATGACCATGCGTCATGTTCTTCTGTCTCACCCGTAATACTAATCGCTACATTGAATAAACTATCTAAAATACTCCTATTAGCATTTATAAAATACTCCTCCTACTATTTATGAAATACTCCTTTTAGTATTTATTAAAACAATACTAGTACAAACCCAAGCAACTTTTGTTAGCCAAATTAAACCACACCTAATTTCACTTAATTATTTTTCCTTTGATTAATGTCGTCTGATGCGGTGCTAAGAAAAGGTATTTTCTTTATTAAATTATCTTGGTAATTCCCACGATGTACTGATCTGATCTGTATATATTTTCGAGCGCCAAACCCGATTGATCAGTTTTCACAAAATTTAACAGTTATGTTACATTTATGTTCAATATCAGGATGGATTAGATAATTACTGTAATTTTAGTTTACGGTTCTAATAATTTTAATCGAGATTAAAGGTACAAACGATCCAAACCTGACACAATAGCGACTGATCGAAGACATCAGGACACTTCCCCGAAAAACATTTTCTCCCACATTTAAAAGCAGTTTCGTACACCGTGCATAATGATTTATGATGTACCTTTTATCCGAAACGTATTTCGAATTAGAAAGATATATTAATATCTTCATTTTTTCAAATTCTCAGAGAATAAGGGCCCTCGTTCGGGGAGCACAAAAAGAATACTCGGGGTCGGGCGGGCGCATTCGGCGCCCAACGACCGTGTGACAAGGTGCTTTATGCGGACGATT